AGCCCAATCAGTGGCATGCTATCACCGGTTGATGTACAACCGAATAGTCAATCTCATCCTTGGCCGCAACTATGTCAATGTCAGTATATCATTAGTCATTGTCAACGCATAAGGGACTATAGATCTTCTAAAGAGTTTTTCTCTCAAATACTCCCTAACGCCTACAAATCACTGTTGGTAATTGTTTAAGCCTTGACATGCCTTGCCTTCAAAGGCATCTATAAGAAACTTATTAAACGTGATTTTTGTTTATCGAGAGAGAATTTTGTTTTTCAATTGCCTACTTAACCCGAAGTAACATCTGTTAGAAAGAGTGACTCTTCGTTGAATCTCTCGGCTGACCTCATTTCTAAACTAAAGAAATTTACCGTAATATTATGTATTACAACTTATATTAAAAGTAAATTTTTAGTTGATCTTGATTTCTTTGCGCTTAAAATTTTCTGTATTATATATTTGATATAGAATATATATATAATGATAATATAATAGAATAATATGTATAAATATTTATATGTCTACACCCCGACTGGTAACGAAAATATAAACATCTGATAAAATAAATCAGAAAATTTGGTACATTAAGTTCAGAAACCATAGAAATTCAAAATTTCGTCTGCTATAATACCTCTACCAATATCTAATATCCAAGATTTCTCAATTGTATATATGTTTATTTCGATATAAACATTTATTAATTATTATTCATAACCATAAATTTAAATAATCAAGTAAATATCTTATTTTGATACTTTTTATTATGTTATACATAGTTCTGTTTTCAAGAAACGTTCAAACGTTTCTTGTTTGCAATCAAAAACTTAAAGAATTAAATTTTTTTTCAAAGCTCTTAAAAATGAATTTAATTTAAACCATTAATCAGTCCATTAATCTTCAAACGATGAAATCCTTATAAAGATTTGCTGTCTTCTATCAGCAAACTGCTCTGTATTCTGCTTTCCTTAGGCAAAAATATTTCTTTTAAATTTATTTAAAAAAGAAAAATATAAAATAAATAAAACTTGCACTAAACGTAAAAGTTTATTTCTAACTTAACAATAAATATATATAAAAAAATATATACTACAAAGTGAAACCATTTTAAAGTCCATATTTTCAAGTACACGTACTTACCAAACACACACATAGAGGGAGCAACGCCAGTGGCAGCAGCTTGCCAATCTGAAGTTCTACGCAAACAGTCTGCAATTTACCGAATTCAACCGAAAATATGCAAAAATATATATTCAATGGTAAAAATTCTAACCAAAAATATAAAAACCAAAAAAAAGCAAAATTTTAGAATATAAATTATATACTAAATTTACTTTTAAATAAATGTGTCTGAGTCTCTTAAGCATTTAAATGCAATAACAACAATATTAGTACGAACTAACGAAATTGCGAGCAACTAAACCAAGGAATCGCAACCAATGAACCAAGCAACCAACCGACAACTGTTGATTTGCATGCCAAAATACTCGCTAGTACGTACTTAGCGCCACAACAGCAACAACGAGTGAATATGGTCTTTTAAGTGTTTAAAATTTTCAAATTTCAACTTGAACTATTTTTAAACAAATAAATGAAAAAGAAATATATACTTTTTATTATTATTATTATTTTTAGTTTTAGAATTTTTGGGAAAACTTTTTAAATTTGCGTTTTGCACACGACATTCAAGCGAAAGCAACACATGAGAAATCCCAAAAGCGAGGATATGCGATTGCATATCCTTGTAATGGCTGCAAAAGTGTTTCCGCTTGCGTTTAGTATGTCGTTGCGGTGTTGGTAAATGGCAGCGATACACTCGTCTGCTCCTTTCCAAGCACATCATGCAATTTCGTTAACTTTTCGCTGCATATGCAACGGCGCATACACACTTGTTACTTAGTATACCATGTGTATGTGTGTGTGTATGTGTGCATTTGAAGGATATGAAGTGCAACCATTTTGCACAAAGCATATTAAAATTTGGTGCAAAATATTTGTGCTGGAAGGCTGCTGCTGTTCTGTTCAACTCCAAATGACTTTGGCATTAACAACGCAAGCAAGTGTTGCATATATCCTTGCTATATGCTTTGTACTATACTTGCTAACGCGATATTCTGTTCTGTTTCTGTTAAAGGATGTGTAGTAGAGTTGTCTTAAGGAAAATGTGCGTGTTTGTTGCTTTTGTTGACATTTTGTTGTTTTAAAAGCAATTGACGTGTATATATATAAAAGAAGAAAGAGTAATAACGTTTAAGCAAGTGTAAATTAACTTGACTTCTTGTTACTTACCAGATTTCTTTATGCATATTTCAGTTATTTATTATTTGTTAATTTCAACACCAGAGGAGTGAAATATTGTAAAAATTGCAATAAACACAAATTTACTTAATTAAAATATAAATATTACTCCTGTACCTACCTATTTTGAATATTAAAAAAATATTACATGCGTTTATTTAAGATGATACCTGTAAGACCTAAACCAGGGATACTATTTTAAGTCAGTAATAGTGTAGATTTTTCAAATACTACAATTTAATTTTTAGATCAGTTAGCTAATTAACAATGACTCTAAGTTTCAAATTTGACAGGGTATAAGAGTTTAATATATAAGAGTATTTAAATATAAGAGTAAATAAATATAAGAGTAATTATATATAAGTAATTAAATATAAGAAATATTTAGAAAAACTACACTTATTATTGGTATTTAGAGATATTCCATTAAAATATTAATAATTTTTAAAAAAATAATTAAAATTTCGTTGTTGTAATTTACTACTATTCAAAAAATTCTCTATTTAAAAATAAAATTTTAATCAATCGACTTTATAGCTATTGCGGATACCACAAACTATCTATCATCAATAGTCTTAAGAAGCATATTTTGATATAATTGCCTTTATATAGGTTTTAGACTGGAACTGTTAAAAATTGAACCCTATCTAAGTTTGATTGCGACTGACTTAGACTTTTACTATATGACTTCACAAACATGGGATTAGAAATAAGCCCCGATATGGCTTCAATTGAACTTATTAAAGTCGGTTATCTTAAATCAAAAAATACTATTAAACTAGTCTCAAATTATTAGATTAGAAATTTTTCAATAGGACTAGTACCATACATCTTATAAGTCACAACATATAATATCTTACTCTTTTTTACAATAATAAATAAATAAATTCTGTATTCTCAGATTTCAATAACCTCAACTCATGTAAAATTACATTTTACGTGCAATTTCCATTCCTAAAATATAAATAAAAAATAAATATTTATATAAATTATATATGCTTTGTTTACGTTATTTTGTTTTTTTTTAAATATATCGCATGAAGGCATCATATAGTGAAAAATTGAATCATTTAAATTGCCTACAACAAACTGCATTCAACAAAGTTGAAGTAGGTTAAACGCTACTTAAACGAACTTTGAACTCCCAAATAAAAATTTGCTGCTGTGTTAATGAATGAATTTACAGGAAAAAATTTAAATAAAAAGTTAAAAATTGAAAAATATTTATAATTACAATAAAGTTTAAGCTTCTCTTTTCAAAATTTACAATAATTTAATTTAATTTACTTTAGTGACTTAATTTGATTTAATTTAATTCGTGAGAGTTCAAATGACAGAACTATATATCTGAATTATCTTATATCTTTTTTTCATATATGAAAAGTATTTTTCTTTAGTATATCTACAATTGAGCTGATCAATTCTTCGCGATCTAAACATTTTTCATTATATGTTTTTTTGGAACTTTTTCCTAATAGACTAACAGAGATTATTATTATTACTGAATTGATAGATTGCACTAGGATCTATATATCTCTTGTAACCCCTTTATGAATTTCTATTCTTTACAAATTGTATTAAACCTTTTTTAAACTGTCATATTCTCTGATCTAGTGACACTCTTTTAGCTGTTCCTTACGTTATGCTTTTAGAAATCAGTGCCTAGTAAGTTCATAACACGTATTTTATGGTCTCATGCTCTCACCCCTGAAACCTACAATCTATTTGACTAAGTTTCTAGTTTTGTAACACACGTAATACGCTGTCAAGATTTCTGTAATGACTCTTAATTTGTTTTTATTTAGTAGCATATTATCCTTAATTTTCATTAATTGTATCATTTATGAAAAAATTAATATCAATTATATTATACTCAACTGTGTTCTTACACGATCACAGTGTTCCACTTAACTCGCTGTCTATATACATGTTGTTCATGTATTTATCTAACTTATATCTATAAATGGTATGAGAATGATTATTTGTGCCTTTATAGGGGTGTAGTTCTCTGATCCTTTAAGTGCCCATGCGTCTACTATTATCGTCTACATTGTCGGGTTATTATATATAATTAAAGTCAATTAAAATGTATACAACTGTACTCTACATAGTTTCAATTTGTTGCTCCACTGGGTACCTACGGCTCTATTATACCTTATCTGATTAATATTTATTTAAAAAAATTGACTAATATTTGCACCACATTGTTCTAACATAATCACAGTACTATGTATATCTCTCTTATATAGTATCTCTAATCATCTAATAATTATTTTAAAATAAAAACATTAGCATACATTTTAATGTATAAATTTAATATATTATTATTTAAAAAAGAAAATTATTTTTACTGATTAAAATTAATATATATTATTGATATTCAGATGTCTGAGTTGGTGAATCAGCACCTTTACTCTATTTTATCTGTGGACAGTTTTAAGTCACACTAAGAATAACTGAATACGGGGCTTTATAATATGATGGATCTGATGTCTTTGTAATCTATATCTAGTAATTAATCTAATAAAATAGAAAATAAATAAATATAGTATTTTATCTTAATTTTTTATACTTTAATATAACATAATATTAATATATGAATATTTATTTAATACTTAACATAAATATGTTGTTTTATATAATAAAAACAATTCAAATGAAATATATAATATTAATTCTAAATATGATTTTCTTTATCTTAATTTTAGTGTTGGAATAATTGCGATCAACAACTGGGTCCTTTCCCACTGAACATCAATTCAGCATTACGGCAAGGCTCATTGGTACTCACTGATATTGCTTGGGATCAGGCAATTACAAACGCATCCAAGCAATGCTTAGTCACTTGGGAGGTCTCCGGAGGCGGTCTAATGGGCAATCTGTTGACTGATAGTTCCACTGTTGAATTATCCCTTTGGTCAGATACGGTTTATCACGTACAAGTTACGTGCAAGCATAAGGTAAGCACAAGAGAATTCACTATGCCTACATCATACACACACTCATATAATTGAATAGCAAAATGTTGCAAGCAAACAAAAACAATTGTTAGCAACATTAGTGCCAATAATGCAATGGTTGCTGAACAGAATTAGACTTAAACTTAGAACTTTGATCACGCTAAGGCTTAGAGTAGAGAACTCGTTTTTAGTGTACAACAAAAGTAAGAGAACACAGTCATTGGCATTGTTTTAAGGAAAAATCGTTCGTGCTACTGTTTGTGGCAACATTGCAATTTTTGTTGTTGGGTAGACAAATGCATCTCGTGGCAAAGATCTTCAACACTTGGTGTGAAAGTAACAATAATTGCCTAATTACAACAACAAACAAGCCATCAGTTGACTTAAGTTTAGTGTACACTATAGTGTTATTATATCAGTTAGTCGTATAAGCTCTGGCTAATTTGTTGTTGCATGCCTTCAGTTGCATTTGTATTGCATGTTGCCAAGGCTTTGCTGCAGGCCTTGCATGCTGCATGCATAAGATACTTTTTTTTATTGCATTTTTTGCTTAAAACAAAAATTACAAAAAAATGTACATAAAAAAGTAAAGCCTTAGGCTTGAAGAGAATATAAAACATAAATTTGGAAGCAGTAAAATTATTAGGTTACGTCGTCAAGAATTTTGCATTTGGCTACTATAAAATTTTTGCAAAAAGAAAAAAAAAATTTTTTCAATAATTTATTATTTTAATTTATATATAAAAATGTTATTTATAAAATTTCTTGTAAGTCGAATTTTATGTGCATAAATTATATAGCATTTAACTTTTAAACTTAATTATTATAATAGTTATATGCATATATAACAAATTTTTTTAATTTTTATTATATTAAATTATATTCCAATACAAATTTTTTTTTGTTTTGTTACTTTTGCTTATATGCAATGATGAACTCTTCATCTTTACCGCAGCATCATTGCGTGCACGTGATTAGTGAGTCTACGTTCCTGACATGACACGCAATTATAAATGATTTGCTGCACTGCAGCCGAAAGTAAATCATATCCTTGTTATTGTTGTTAATATTTGTACACTAATTGACGTAGGAATAATTGATCGATCGGACATCCAAGTGGATGTTGCTGACATGAGCGATCTTTAGCACAGCACAAATGCAGTTGAAAAGTGCATACGTGCTGTCCATCCATCCATATATGCCCACTCAAAATTGCATGTAACGTTTTAAAAGAACCAAAAATAAAATAATAAAAAAAATGTTTTTTTTTATTTTCCTGTTGAAATTAAATTGTTTAACGAGAAAAGGACATAAAAAAACTTCAAGTAGTTTTTAACTGGTAAACATGAAATCAATATCCAAGTCAAAGTACCTTTCAACAGTTTTACTTCACCGCATAAAATTATTTACGACTGAAACATTACTAAAAAAAAGAAAACAAAATAATAAAAAAAACATTCTTACTTGTTTTAATTTTTAATTGTTATTATAAAATTAATTTTATTTATTAATTTTCTTTTTATTTTATTTACAGGAAACTGGTGGCATGCGTCGCTCATATAAACTGATCGTGGACACACACAAATTAAGCGATAGCATTGCAACTGGCATGCAAGAGATAACTCTAAGTAATGGCATCACAAAAACTTTACCCAATATATATAGCAACGAACTGTCCAATTCAGCTGAGACAGATTCACGTATGCGCATACTAAAGGATAGCTCAAAGGATTTCCTCACTCCTTACAATCCAAATGCCAATGTAGCAAATACCAAAGATAATACAAATAACGTTGATAATAGCATCTCAAGCAGTTCGTCCACTACAGACAAGAGTAGCAGTAATATCAATAGCAACAGCATTAATGCCAAAAAGGATAATACATTACATATGAATTCAGTGCTGCGGACCAAACTAATTGCACCAATGGTGCCAGCTAAACCAACAGATTTCCTAACACAAAGCATGGTCTTTGCTGTTGTCGGTGCAGTTGTCGTTTTCTTTGGTTTACTGACACTATATGCATTGACAAGACCTGCACGCAAAGATGTACCTGCTGGCGCTAGTGCCATTGATAAGGAAGTTCTGATACACAGCGAACTGCTACCAAGTCAAACAACAGCTGCCAAACAACAAGGAGCACATACAGTCATATCCGCGGCTGCGCTGACAACAGTTGCCGCTGACACACGGACGCTGCATGTGTAAATGGCATATGCGTGTCATGTATATAATGTAATGTCTGTATGTATTAGTTTGTAAATATTTGCTTCAAAACATAAATTATTTAAATAATTAATTAATTAATAACTTTTAAAAAAGTTCAGTTTTTGTTATTTTCGAATTTAGATGTGATGTAAATTTAGCTATTTTTTTTTTCTTAGAACTGTAAATAATATAAAACATATATATTTTTAATTATATATAAATATATATATATGTTCTCATATACATATGTATATGTAATTATGTATGTATATGTTATATATAATGTATGAGTTTGTTAAAAGTTTTTGTAGGATCAATTGTGGTATTGATTCATTAAAGGTATGGAGCGCGTGAATAGCAATATTAGTATTTAGTATTAAAATTAATAAATATTAATCAAAAATTATTGAATGAAATCTTCAGATAATGTTGTTAGTAATGGGCAGCCAATTATATTGTTCTAGGGACTTTATTATGACCAAAAAAAAAATTATTTTGTAAGGTTATGATCTCTTTTACCTACAAATTGAGTTCTAGCTGAGCCCATAACTAGAATGTTGGCAATATTGATAAATAATACATATTCTTTAATATTTTCTTATATATTTTTAAAGCTTTATTTTAATTTTTAAAGCTTTGTATTAATTTTTAAAGCTTTTTAATTATTTGCAAAGCCTTTTATTAATTTTGAAAGGTTTTCATTAATTTTTACAGTTTTTTTTTTATTTTAAAAGCTTTTTAATATATTTTCTCTATTAAATACTTTTTTCTTTTTATAATAATAATAAATTCCTAAAGATTCGATACAAAAAAAAACCGTTAAAATTCGTTTTGTTTTTGTTTGTCATTATCATTCATGCCTTATATATTTAAATTCCTTTTAAAATATATCACCTGTTATATTTCGTATTATTCTTTTTAAAATTTTTTATATTATTTTTTTATTTTCTATATTATTTTTAAAATTAAGTTTACATGCCTTTCTACATAAATTATTGTATAACGTCTCATAAAATGTTTTTTAAAATTTATCTATTAATTGCCTATTATATGCTATTTCCAATATTTTAATTTATAATTTTATTTTTAATGATATGCATTATTGAAATATATTATTTTTTTTCTTTATTAAACCATACGAACTCATATTATATTTTAGATTACTTAAAAGTATTATTTTTTGTTTTTATTATTTAATTTTTCACATTAATTCGTATTTTATTTTTATGCTATATTCTATATAGCTTTTTATATATATAACTAAGCTTTTTTTTTCTCTAAATAATTTTTAATTTTCTTAGTTTCATACTATTCATTATTTAAATATTTAATATATGTAATATAAGTCTTACTCTTTCATAAAACTCTACAAATATATTAGCTCATGTATACTTTTATTTTGAAGAAAACAATCATAAGTTTCATATTATATTGGAAATTATACTTACGATCTTATTTTATATTTTTTTATACATATTTTCCATATTTTTTTATATATTTTCTTCACATATTTTTTTTTTATACGCTTTTATATATATTTTTTTTATATATATTTTTTTTATATATATTTTTTTATATATTTTTTTTATATGTGTTTTTTTTATACTTATTTTATATATTTTTTTTTATACTTATTTTATATTTTTTTTATATTTTATTATACATATTTTTTTTTATATACATATGTTTTTAATTTTATTATACATATTCTTTTTTATATATATTTTTTTTATATTTTATTATACATTTTTTTTTTATATACCTATATTTTTAAAATTATTTATAAATTATTTATTTATTTCATTTTTATGCTACTATATATATAATTTTGTATACTGCTTTATATTTTATTTTTTATTTTATTACCTATTTTGTTTATTATTTAATGCTTCTTTTATATCATAAATTATATTTTTTATTATTTTCTGCATTATTCAATTTTTTTTATTGTATTGAAGACCTCAAAAATATTGCATATAACAAATCATTTTTATTGATTTTACATACTCATTCTCTTTCATTGCCAATAATTCTCTCCTATATGTATTAATAATTTAATGTATATTTTACATTAAAAGAATTTCCTATATAATCAACCACATCATGTAAATAATATTTAGCATTTAATTTTGACCTGACGTCACCCTGCATATAAAAAAACGTCTTGTAATTTGTAGAGGATTTTGAGTGAGAAGTTTTTTTTTATATTATTTTAAAAATAAATAAAAATGCTAGAATAATATGTTTTCTAGTCTCATTTGCATAAAATAATTAAATAAAAATAATAAAATTTATTATAAATTTTTATTAAAATTTTTTTGAATATTTAATAAGCACTCCTTTAGACACTCTTAACCCAGTGAAGGACTCTTGTTAGGTTTTCAATTGTTGTTAATTTTTTCTTTTTGGAATTTGTTATTAATTTTTTTTTTGTTTGCGAAGTTTAGCCAAATTAATTAAATTAAAGCTAACACAAAGCTACTTGTAAAAATGCAAAATATTAAAGGAAAAAATCAAAAATATCTTCCAACTTAGAAATTGTATAATTATTTAGTGCATAAGAATAGAAAAAGAATATGTGAATGTACTAAATCGAAAACCCAACAGAAACGAGTAGAAAATAAAACAGTTATGAGTACTGAACTTTGTATATAAGCACAACAAAAAATACGGTAAAATGCAACTCTTGTAAATATAATAAACTTACAATAAATTTAGTATTTAAATTTGCTTAAAATAAATAAAAATTAAGAGTTATGAAATATAAAAAAGAAAGTATTAGAAAGTCGTGGGTATGTGTTGATGAGGTAATGTGACAATTTTAAAAACTTTTTAAATCATATTATTCATTTGACTTACATATATACATTATAATCTTTATCAAAATTCAATCAAAAGTATATAGTTTTAAATTGTTATTATATATATTGATAATTTTTAAATGCATCAAAAAACATTTTAAGTAAAATTTAAATTATTTCAAATATATTTAAAATTTTTGCATCAACGATCCCACACACACAATGGCTGACATTTGTATTTATTTTTTTTTTTGTAAATTGCATTAAAAATGTAATTAGCGAACAAAACTAAATTACAAAAAAAAATATTTAAAAATTTGTGTAATTATTAATTTATATGAAACATAAATAATATTACTTAAAATTTATTCCAAATAGCATTTGTGAATTATTACAAAAATAAAATAATACACAACAAAAACAAAAAAAAAACAACTAATATAGAACTGCAAATAATTATTACAATTAAAAGTTTAAAAATAATTCATTAAAACGCTTACTTTGCAGTTAATTTGTTTTGTTTGCAATCGCATATATTTTAAATCCAAAAAAAATTGTTTTCATATATATATATAAATAAATTTGTATATCTTTATACATATATGTGTAAGCATAAAACAAGTAAAGTGCATAACTCTAATTATTTGTAGTTAAATTTAAGATATTACAAAAAAGTTAATTTAAATTCATTAATTTAAGATATTGAATAGAAGATAAAAAATAATGAAATTGTAATTTATAGTTATGTAAACTATTGTGTATCAGCAGGCAAAAACAAAATATATTAAAATTTAATAAAAAAAATTAAAAAAATATGAATTAAATAAAATATGAGAAACTAAACAAATGATAATAAAATTGAAAATAAATAAAAATTATTTAAATAAAAAATAATTAACTTGTATTCTCATTTTAAATAGTTTTTAATTAATTTTAATTTATATACTTTTTATATTAAATTAGAATTCAAAACAAGTACGGAAAGATATCTTCAAACACTCTCGAGCATTCGTTATAAATACACGAATATATATGTAAGTATTTCCTTTCTATAGAAATGAAGGAAACATAAAGGAAAACGAGAGAAAAAATCGAAATATAATCTAGGAAATGTTTTATTTTTTAATGCCAGAAGAACATTGAAGAAAATCTTCAAAAGCCGCAAGTCATCTGCACTTTGAGATTGAAGGATATATATCGATTCAACCCATCTCTCTGTCACTGTCAGTGCTTTAATGTTTCTACATAATATTACTAATTTAGGTATTAATTTGCGAGACAAGTAAGAGAGTATTCACCTTTCATAGGTTAGTATTTGGTATAATTCAAGTCTTTTTCTTGTTTTTACTAATAAGTTCTATAATGTTAGTTGCTACAAACTCAACCCAATTCCCTATCACAACCACTTTTCTGTTGTTTGTTTACGACATTATCAATTCAAGCTGGTAAAATGTAATTCACTTCTCGTAGTTCGCTATTTAATATAAACCCAGTGTTTCTTGCATTGTAAGCGATTATTCACTGCCCCGTAATGCTAGATTTTTACGAGGCTACAAACTCTAGCTTTTTCCATATCGCAATCACTGCCCTCTTCTTAAAGTACGAGAATACCAATTCATTCGTAATGTATAATGAGAGGATTCTTATCTGAAGATCCCCTAGAGATCGTGAAGAGAAGTACTTTCTTCTACATTTTTCAGCTTGTCAATAATAAATGAATTACGCAAAGGTCATGTGTAAGTTTCCAATGAATATGAATGGTTTTCATGTAAAATTCTAGATCTTGAGAACCCATTAAAGGAAACCATTTGAATACTGTAAGGCTTACTCTCTAGTACTCTCTACTGACTGGTGTTTAGGGATTTGCTCAGCAGAGCTGTACATTCATTTCAATAAACACTGTAGGAGTTAAGGGATTTTATAATAAAAATAATGCTGAGCTCTGGAAATGCCCAGCTTTTGCTTCTGGAAACAGCAGGTTTTTAGGGCAGTTTTTTTTTTGGACAGTTTGTCTGACTGTTCTTCGGTAAGAATAAAAGATTTGTTAAATTACTTTAATTCTTAACGGAATGCATTAAGTTTTTGTTTTCTTTTTATCTTTTAAGGTTTCTTAAGGTAGCTAAAATGGCGAAAGGTCGTTAATTTCGAAAATTGAAAGAATATCTGCTAACCTACTATTGCTATTCTTTGCATCTATATATTACTTAAAGCATGATCAGATAATGAACCTACTCTTAGCATTCAGTCAATACGATTAATTAAATTTGAATAACATTTCAGTTATGTGACAGAATTTTGATAAGCTAAGATTATTTAGTATTGGATCCAAACCACTAAATTCATTACTTCGAGAGGCTTATGCGCATTTACGA